TGCTACCACTTCGTCCACGGCCTCCCCAACCAGGAGTTGCGCTTCACGGATTCCGGCCTCAAGAAATTCCGGCGCTTCGATGCCTGGAATTGGCGGCTTGCGGGGTACGTGCAGTATGTTGACGATCAATTAGCCGCTGAGCTGCGCCAGGTCCAACGGCATCACGCGTTACGATGTGCTGGAAGTCTCTCTTTGCGCGTGCTCCTCGGCTTGGTCCCGGACGATGCGACCATCGACAACACGCGCATCACGGCCGAGATCGTGGATCAAGCTGCACTGACCCTGGCATCTGTCCTTGGTGGTTTTGCGGTTGGCTTTCGTGGTGTCCCGGCTGCGCCCGGCGCTGCTGTGCGTCGGAGGGAGAGCCCAAACATGACGTTTCGCGCGCCTTTCGTTCGGTTCCTTCCCCGTGTCTCTTCGTCTGGCCGGTCTCTTGCAGGGGTCGACGCCGCCTCTCTTCCGCCACTGCGGCCACAAGCAGACGGCGAGGTGGGCGCGACCTTGTTCTGCCAAGCGCTGGGCCCGGCCTTTGTACACATGCTTTCCGAGGAGCAGGTGCAGCTGGACCCCGTTGAGGAGGCGGCGCGCCAGCACAATGCAGCGATCCTGGGCTTAATGCGGGAAGCCCTCACATGGCCCGGATGCGCATTTTGTGAGCAAGGGGATGTTTACCCGGAAGCTAAACCAGGCTGACCTGGGCCAGGCCCAGTTGCATCGGGGGTGGAGCAAAGCGCAGGGGCATTCCAATGCCACGCGCTCCGAGTGGTGGCTCCAACACGTCGCGGCGGGCTTGGCACGCATGGGACTGGGGAGTGTGCTGCAGGCGTCTGATGGGCAGCGATATGTGAAGCCGACTGTGCTGGAGCTTTCAGATTCCCACACCGTCGCCCTCTTGCAGACCCATCTCCAGCTTTCTCCGGATGCGGTGGCGCGTTCCTGCACCAAGCATGGGTCCGTCAAGAGTGACCGGTCCACCTTGCCTGCTCCGGCCACGCCTGCGGCCTCGGCCTTGCTGGCGGCTCCTGTCACGCATGTCGCACCGCATCCCGCTCCTGCCATGGCTGCGGCCCCGCTGCTGCCTGTCATCAGCAAGGCACCTGGAACACCGACTGTGTGCTCCTCACCTTTGCCGACCCTGCTGGATCCGGCCTCTGGCGTTGTTCCTGCGTCCGCGAACGCAGCGGCCAGCGTAGGCGAGGTTGCACTCACACCTGCCGAGAGTGCGGACGAAGGTGTGCTGCGGACCTTGCACCTCACTGGTGGCACGGACCAGTTGGCGCTCAACAACTTGCGGAACATCTTCTGCATGGTAGCGCGTCGCGCGCAGACACCGACGCACCTGGAGGCCTACATGTTCCTGGATCAGCGCGTGGAGGCCGAGGAGAGCGACATTTTGGCGCGGCTGCGGGAGCTGCTGCATGGCGGCCGCTTCTCGGACGAGGACCCTGCCTTTCTTTCGTCCGTTTGTTTCCTGAACGCCCCCCCGGCACCTTGCTTTTCCTATGTTTCCCTGGCCTATAAGTCCGGTCGAAGAAGACGACCTACGAAAGTGCCAGAAAGGCAAACTCCGGCATTTTCAGCTGTGATCTTCGTGCATTCGCTCGCGCAGGACTGGCACGCTTGCCCAACGATGCTGGGTTGCCGTGGGAGATGCACGATATTTGGCTGCAATGGCTTGATCTTGCCTGTGAAGAATGGCCAGGTGCCCCCCGCACGCGCGCCCGTGGAGCAGCCAGCCCAGCGCCGCCGTGTGGCCCCTGTGGAGGTTTCAGAGACTGGGGTAGAAGCCGCCTTAGTCCTGCCTTGCGCTTCGTTCTTTCGAGCCTTTCTGTTTTGATTTTTTTGCACTGGCGCCCTTTTTGGCGACGGCGACGCAACGCGACCCGACTTTGCTAGTCGTGTGCATCGTTGTGGCCGGGGTGCTCTATGTTTTCTCTGTATAGCTGACATCTATTTCAATCCTCCATTCTTCCCGGACGTGCATCCACGCGTGGACCGTTCGCGGCGGCTATCTTCTTTGTACAGTCTCCAAGTTGCAGCGTTTGGCCGCCGGCGCGCTCCTACGGCCGCCGCGGCACGCTGCTCCTTGCAAGGTGACGTCCGCCTCTAGACCCAGACCTGCGAGCAAGAAGCTGTCAGTCACCTCCCACGCGTTGCCCACGCACCCCCTGCCCGCCTGTCAGGTGGTGACAGCTGCTGCGCAGTCGACTGCAAGGATGTGCAGCTGGGTGCCAAAAGAACTGGTCGCGCCCAAACGGTTGAAGCAGCGACCGTTTTGCATGCGTCTTTCCTGCAGACCCTTTAGTTCGCTTTTCTGGGCGCAGCCATTCTCCGGCCGTCTTTCACCTCGCCCTCGCGTTCTCCTCCACTCTGCCATGCTCCGCCCCGGCGTCCGGTGGGCGGATGTCGAGGATTCCGAGGACGAAGACATCCCCAGAGTGCTGCCCTTCTTTGTCATCCTGCACGCCTTCCTGGCCGGGGTCTTCGATTACCGCGTTTCCCGGGAGACTCTCGAAACCTTACAGGCGCTCCTCCAGCGGGATCCGCATCTGGACGACTTCTCCTCTATTGTTTGGGTCCGGGCCGGAGCTTTCATTGATGCCGTGCATCGTGGATCAGAGAGTTCTACAACCCTCCGGCTGTGGCAGGCGTGGCTGCAGTTGCAAGTGTGGCGCGTTGACTTGCCGGTGCCCCTTTCATACCTCTACATCTTCGGGTTGACCTTCTGAAGGGGGGCACCAAGTCGCAGCAGTCGCGAAGCTGCGCGAGAAAACCGATTGAGGGGTCGGGGGCGTTGGCATCCTGCGCTTGGCTTGCACGCTCACACTGTCTTGTTTTACAACCCCTCCGTCCGCAGCCGTGTTCGCAGCTTTTCGTGCGCTCTCTGGGCCGCGGCGGGTGGCCATGCCGCCGGTGCAGCAATGCCCGGCAGCGCCAAGCGCCGCTCCCGTCGCCGGTGATCGCATTTTGCTCTTCCAGATGCCGTGGTTGCTTCGTATCCTGGACGGGGAGAAGACGTGCGAAGTGCGTGGACGGTTCCAAGCGCCCGCGCCGCCGCCTCGCCCGAGGTGGCGTGCTGGCGTCCTGCATCTACGTTAGATTGCAGACCTTCTGGCCAGATGAAAACAGCTGGATCTGTGCGCCTCCCTATCGCGTCCGTTCACGTTCAGGTCTGACCGCAATGGATATTGTCTGCCACCACCAAGTCTCCGGCTCGAAACTGCGCTGCCCGCCCCTTTTGTGTTTCGGCCTTCCGCTGCCATGCAACCTCTCCAGCTGTCTGACGAGATCTTGCTGCTTGCATTGCTACCGCTCTGTCCCCTTCCCTGCGTGCTACAGCTCGCAGCCGTCGCTCGCCGCGCCGGCCCTGGGCAGTTGACCACGCGTCGACCTCCGCGAACGGGTCCTCACGGCGCTCATGCCCGTTTTGCGGGAAGACCTCCGCTGCCCACCCTTCCGCGGCGTGCACGTGCCGTTTTGCTGCACTTTGGAGGGCATCACTCGGGCGACTTCGCGCATCCCGTCGCGGCACAGCGCGGCTTGCATCCACGCCGGAATGTGGTCCGCACGTTGCCCGGCAACTCTGCTGCACCGAATCCACCGACCTCGCGCGCCGCCCCCGTACACCGCCCGGCTGCCCGATCTTCCGAGGTGATTCGGAGGTCTTTCTCCTCCAGTGGCTGGCCGTGAACACGGACAGCGTCGCCGGCGAGACCATGGCGGCGTTTTTGCGGCGGCACTCGTGGCGCCACCTGTGGCTCAGCGGTCACTACGGGGAGACGACACTCGTGCTCGTCTTCGCGGTGGAGAACTGTGAGGGAGCTCTTGTCTTTCCCATCAGCGCGGCGGCCGGTGATTGGCCCGACGTCGCTGCGTTGTGAGTGGTGGCGGCCGTCAGAGTAAAAGGAACGCTCCGCTTTATTGTGACGTTGCGCCGCTCGAGCGTGATCGTCGGTGTTCGCAGCCAGTCGTTGCCCGCCAGGTCATGCCGGGCCACATCCTGCGCGGGACCGGCGCCGGCTTCCAGTCTCCTGGCCGCAAATCCTGCAGGGCATTCGGACAAAGGGGGGCAGGGAAGGGACGGAGCGGTCACGGGGACTTTGGCCACCCGAAAGAGCCGGATTGATCATTTCCGGGAAAGGTACTAGGCGCGGCAGAAAGATAGAGGTAGGCTAGCTTCTGTGCCCACGGCCACTCCAATTTGGAGGGGCGCACGAATCGTCGACGTTTCACGCGCCCCTCACGGCGGTGCTGCTCTGCTGCTTTCTCTCCCTCCCTCCCTTTTCGTAGCGCCGGTGCCCTTGCTTGATCCAGGCGAGGCATTAGCCGAGGACAGCCCCATGGATAGCGCTAGGCATAGGCCTAGGATAGGCCTATGGCTAGCCTAGGCATAGGCCTAGGATAGGCCTATGGCTAGCCAGGCATAGGCCTAGGATAGGCCTATGGATAGCCTAGGCATAGGCCTAGGATAGGCCTATGGATAGCGCTAGGCATAGGCCTAGGATA